TTTTATGAGGTCCTGGAGGAAGCGCCAAAAAAAACACGACGAACATGTCAGGTTTCACGAGTTGAACGTGTTCTTTCGCAAGCGCGCGAATTTCAAATCAAGACTCAAACAAACAAATGGCTTGTTTACAGCGCACAAACTATCACATGGCTCCAAATTTGGGCTATGTGTATACAATATTACTCCAAACTATGTTATGTAAAAGTATCCGTTCTCGAATTTGTTGGTTTCTAGACCAACCACCAAACCAACTGGGTTGGTTCGGAGCATAAATATCGGAGAGTTTACATAAGTTTTGAACCTTTTTGAGTTGGACGATAAGAACGGTCAAAAATCTATCATATAGTGAAGAGAGCGGATCAAACCGTTGCCTCTCCCCTTTTTTTGAGTCAAAAGTAGTATAATTTTAGGCGTTGATAGATATCGCGCTCCAATCACTTGCGGTGTCTTTTGAAATAGTGGCGAAAATGCATCGCAGGATTGTTGAGGCTACAGATTTGGTTGGCCTAGGAGATTTTCGACATTTCCAGCATCAAAATGGTACTATACCCTATGGCAGAGCCTTTAATCGACTCGAAATGTCTTCTTTTTGCTTTTTTGTTATATTACATACCTCAAAATGCGCTTTTTTCGTTTTTTTGTTGCTATTTTGGTTGAATAAGGGTTTCCCTACTGATTTTCACGTCGAGAGGGACTTCGTAAATTTTCGCGAAGTCATGGGGGACTTCGTTTTTTAAAAACCTCCAAACCAACGCGTGCCGGGCCCTGTAGGTGGAGTCTCATATTTCATCTCTCAGGCATCTACAAAATCGAAAAGAAACCTTACTGGTATTTTTTGGCATTGAAGTTACTAAGGTTGACCCCGCCGAATGAAAATCCGCATTTTAATCAGCCACCATGTACCTACCATAAATTTCACGAATCAACTTTTCGCATAGATTGTTGTAATATTCGTAATCAGCACAACAATCCCGTAGATCGACTTTGAGTAAGGCCATGACTTCGAAACTTTTGGGGCTCCGCACTAAGCAAACACCAAAAATTGCGATGTTGCAGATTTTAATCAGTTTCTGAACATCTCTGCAAAACATTCTGAATCAACGAAAATTTCAGGAAATTCTTCACAAAATAAGTGCAATTTCGGAGATATATTCGCGCAGTTCGTATGAGGTCAGTGACGCGATCGCTGAGTCGAATCGCGACGAATCCGTTTAGAGTACCCCTTAGGAAAAAACTGTCAGCGAGTGCTCGTGCCGGAAAACTATCACAAATGAAATGCAAGGTGACCGGCATGCAATGAACTCGTAGCATTTGTCTGGTCGGGAGAATCGCGAGACGATGAAATCGCGTGATGTATGTCCGGCCCTTAAAGGCAGCGGCTTGGGAAAATCGCGACTGGGGGCTGTTCACAACTATATGGACTTTTGGACCGGCTGAGTCAGGTACTTCGCTTGAAATTCAAAAAAGTGTTTTTTTTTGTGTTCACCGGCCTTGCAGATTGCTGGAGAGGCAGGGCGAGTGATTCCCGCCATAACCAGCAAGTGACTGCAGGATACTGTAACTTCACCTATTTTGGCTGCAATTGGCTGATCAGCACAGGCAATCAATACGATACAGTTGACGGCAATCCCTCGCCCTCTCTCCAGCAATCTCCAAGGTCGAAAAACGCCAAAAAAGCACTTTTTGACATTTCAAGCACAGTATCTCACTTAGCTGGTCCAGAAGGCCATGTAGTTGTGGAAATCCCCCATTCACGATTTCCCCGAGCCACTGCCTTTAAAGCAAGAAAGTAATCAGCAAGGCGGTGCCTTCCACTATGAAACTCTCCCAGCTTCAGGAGCGATCGTGGGTTTTTCGCGGATTCTCGACTTGATATTCGGAATCAGGGACATGAGAAGGTTTCGGAACGACAAAAACATGGAAGCCGAGAATCTGGGTGGACGGTGCCTTTAAGGTGGCTAGCGGAAGCGAGAAGATTGGTCCTGAAGTGGGAGGGTGACTTCAAAAGTAGAGGGTCCCGCCCACCTGCTGATTTCCCCCTTTGCTTTTCAAGAGCGAACAGGCCCAGATAAACAAAAAGTAAATCGATTGCTTGCCCTAACACTGCCTTGAAGGCACTCTATTAAGTTGTTCCAAAAGTAAACTTTATTTTTGAATAAATCGAACTGTTTTTGTTTTCAATATAGTTAGGGTACCATTCGATAGAGGGAAACAAGCTCTACAAAAGGACCACTAAGGACCCACTTAAGTCGTAATTCAGGCAATTTGGAGCCAAAAATTTTTTTTCAGCTACCCTGAAAATCGAATCTCCTTCTAGAGAATTCCTACACACTTCCAACTTGGTCTTTATATAATAAACGCATAGTATTAGGTTGTTACATAAGTCTTGTTACACTTTAACTTTTTACGGCGGTAAGTCATGCACCTCATATTCTTTACAGGACTCCAGGGTACCATTCGATAGAGCAAAGCAACCCCTACAAAATGATGTGCAAGATTTCGCACCCGCTTCGATCCACAATGAGTTTGCATCCAAAAACTAAGTCGTACTGAAGGCTCAAAAATCGCGAAAAATTCATATCTCTGTTCAAAAAAATTCTAAAAATTTCCAACTTGCTCATAAAAATTACTCATTACATCAGACACTCATATGCACCGTTGCTGTATTTTTTCCTCATCTAAAAATCGAGAAAACAAAAATTTTCATGTTTTTACAAAAACGAATCTATGCTGTTTCTTTTCATGTAGCTGTATACTACAAGTCCTTAGAAGTATAACCGTAAATTTTCAGCTTTCTAGAAGCCCTAGTTTTCGGAAATCACCTAATTTAGCATTGAACTCCCGAGTGAAAAAAGCTAATTTCGTTATTTTTCGAAAACTAGGGTTTCTGAAAAGCTGAAAATTTACGGTCACACTTTTAAAGGCAGCGTCCAGGCAGATCTGGGCCTATGGGGCTTTTACGTGGAAAGTACTTTTGGGGCCCTAACTAAGGCACTGCCCAAGCGGCAGCTCATGTAGTGCTCTAGTGGCTGAGATATTCCCCTCGAAACTGGCCCCCGCGAACGTATTCGCATGGATTCATGGCAGTTTCGCTGCAGGATCCACGCTTTGCGCCACGAATCCATGCGAAACACGGTCGCGGGGTCCACTTTCGAGGGGAATATCTCAGCCGTTAGGGCACTACCTGAGCTGCCGGTTGGGCAGTGGCTTAGTTAGAGCCCTAAAAGTACTTTCCACGTAAAGTCCCCGTAAGTCCAGACTTGTCTGGACGCTGCCTTTAAGGGATTGTAGAATACAGCTACATGAATAGAAACAGCATAGCTTCGTTTTGTAAAAACAAAAAAATTTTCGTTTTCTCGATTTTTAGATGAGGAAAAATACAGCAACGGTGCATATGAGTGTCTGATGTAATGAGTAATTTTTATGAGCAAGTTGGAAATTTTTAGAATTTTTTTGAACAGAGATATGAACTTTTCGCGATTTTTGAGCCTTCAGTACGACTCAGTTTTTGGATGAAAACTCATGGTGGATCGAAGCGGGTGCGAAATCTTGCACATCATCTTGTAGGGGTTGCTTTGCTCTATCGAACGGTACCCTGGAGTCCTATTGAAATTATGAATTCACGACTTATCGTTGTAAGAAATTGAAGTGTAACAAGACTTATGTAACAACTTAATAGTATACAAAAAATGTATTTGGTATTCCGGGGATCAAACTTGAGAAACAAAGACGGTCCGAAATTGCCACTCTTTTCGGGCATGTAACACTTGTATTTCTCGATCATAAGAGCACATACAGGGGGAAAATATTAAGATTATACTTAGTAAAGCTTGTAGTATACAGTGACATATGTGGGAGGAGCCGGAAGGCGGAGTTTGCCATTTATGGTCTTTTTTTTTCTCGCTTTCTATGCGCGAAAAAAATAATAAGGACACTTTTGAGTACTACTATGTGCCTCCTGTATAATGACCAAGTTGGAGGTCCGTAGGATTTTTCTTCGCAAAAATCCAGTTTTCAGGTGCAAAAATTTTTCAGATTTTGGCTTCAAACTTTACATTTAATGCAACTTAAGCAAACGCAGCAGCTCTTGCTGGGCATGTTGTAAAACTTGATCTGCTCTATCGAATGCTACCTAAGTCTACTAGGAAAGCAAGAGCAGCTGGAGTTATTCAGAAGAGGAGTTTACCTCTGGGACAACCTAATATATATAATGGACGATTAGATCCCAGGATGTTTTGTACGGAGTGGTATAGTATTCTGTAAATGTCTTCTCCTTAATTCGGAAAAGTTAGAAGTTATCGTCATTGTTAACGAACGAATGAGCAGCAGAAAGCCAGAAAAAATAGGGGAAGAAAGCGAAATGCGAAAAATACTAGATACGGTTTTTTCAACGATCACGGGAACGGACAGGTGAATCTTGAAAGCGGTTGGGCAACTTTCAGTCATTTGATCTACCTTGAATGTAATAGACTAATTACTTTGTTTTGACCTCCAACCGTACAAAACAATTCATCATTTAATATTATTGCTTCTCGAATATATTTGGTTACACGGAAATAAATGAAAAAGGGGTGAGCAATTTGTTCTTCGGCAACAAATTTAGAATTTCATTGTTGTGCGTAGAAGTGGAACTCACGTTTGAGGTGTGCGGTTGAACTCGATCTTCTCAAGGCTGCTCCAACCTCCAGAAGAGTGCTCAAGCAGATGTCGCACGGTCACGTATTGTAACCACGGATGGGCTCTTTTGATATCGAACGTATAAAGGCCGCCTTAAAAGTCTTTATAGATCTATGAATGCATTCATAATAAACTTTTGCAAACTCTATGAAAAAGTCGAGTAATATGGTGTAAAAATGCATAATAGTAGCGGCAGCGAAAAGCGGTCACTGCGTGGGCGTTAGAAATATTAGGGTGGTGAGTAGAATCAGCGGAATGAGATTTAGTGAAGGGAAGTCAAATTCGAATTTCAATTCATGTAAAATCTTCCTCCGCTCTCTTACTGCGTAGGACTCAACTTTGACTCCGAACACTCTGTCTTCGAGATTGAGAAGACGTCTGTTGATTAGCTCTGCTATTCCCATGGCTGTGATAGTTTTGCTGATGGAGGCGATGCGGTAGCTATTCATGGGGCTTGCCTATAATGTATGTCCGCATATTAGCTGGTTTATTTGCTAAAGGTTAACTTACCCTTGTCTCAGACCTCAGATCTGAGAACCCATATGCGGCCGAAAGTAGCCGCTTGCCTCTTTTGTAAATACATAGCGACATGGAAGGAATGTCAGATAAACGCATCTAAATAACCAATTTACACTGGCACTTCCTGATCAGACGTACCTGCTTCTCAACAGCAAAATCAAGCTCTGTTAAATTGAAAAATGTTGAATCGAACACTTTTGTACAAGGTATGTCTTTTTCAGCCCATGTGAAGTCACCGGAATGCCAGACCACGTAGTACCTCGAAAAGAATCCTAGCGCTTTCCTTCAAATAGCACATTCAAGATATATGTTGACTACCAATAATATCAAATACGGTACCCTGATATAGCGGTGATCTGGTGGGGCTGCATCATCGTCCCATTCATCTCCTCGCCCATCTCGGTCAGATTTGATCCGCTTTGTATGCGATATCTAGAGAGTATCCGTAATTGAAAAGGAAGGCTAACAGAAAGCATTCTCACCTAACCCCAAACCCCTTCTCCCAAACAATCAGTGCAGTGGTTTGGTTTTTTTCGCGGTAAACCTGGTAGAGCTGTATTTTTGACACTAAAATTTGTCAGAATTTCACCACCTGAAGTGACGCTGGATAATATCCTTCTCGACCATGTTTGACGTCTTCTCTCAGAATCGTTTTTATCTCTCCCTCCTGCACAATGTAGTGTCGCATCTCTTGACTGGATCCCTGCCAGACTGCTCTGGATTGTAAGTTTATTTTTCAGTGTCTAGTGCGACATGAGATTTCGAAGCAATTTTGCAGGTGAAGCACTGCTTAATTTGCAAGGTTGCTCTGGTAATCAAAAACATGGTACGAAATGCTTACTGAAATCTTCCATCAGGTCCTCGGCATATGTGAGCAGGATTCATGCCTTTCACTAGCATCTCTTCTGTGACCATTTCCAGTTCCGTCATGGTCAGATTTAGAGAAATATCGATTATATTATTGCTTGCAGCAATCAAATTGACGACGTAGAATACAGTGCCCAAGTAGGAGTAAGAACAAACAGTTTTGATTTGAGTGCCGTTCAACTGTTCTGATTTGTATCTCATAACTTCATCTGCGCTCAAGTGGATCCGACTTGATCCCGAGTCCTTCTTGAACCCCGCAAACTCGGGATATATGGTCGAGGAGAGAGTGGGGAATAGATGAATGCCTTCAACGCTGCGGGTTTTCCATAGAGTGGATAATTGAAACTGAAGAAGCTTCTCGCTTGAAATGTGCGGTACATAGTTTAGCAGCAGAAAGGACCAAAGCGAAGGCAGTACGCAATTTAGCAGCATTCTTTGTTATTATTTCGGACGTTGTTTTCGGCGCATGTGTGTAGGGACGACCAGGCGGGTCGGGATAACTGGCTGGAACTGGAAGCTAACAACTTCTCTGCGAAAGCGCGCCCGAGTCAACACCGTCGGCTAGTTTTCTTTGATGGACACGATCATTATTGCGTAATTTCGCACAAGGCCAAGCCGTGCTCGTCCGAAGGATCATTTCACGGCCAAGTCCTAGGTCACTTTGCATATGAAACATTTAGAGAAGTATGTCAAAGCTACATCTCAAATGGAGTATCGTACATTGCGGATGTACCCCTGTTTTCTCATCTTTCTCCCATCAATACAAAATTTTGACAACAGATATTATCAGCTTCACATTAAAAATGACCTGTGCAGCGACAACTAGGATTGTATCCTTGTCAGTTGCTTGAACGCAGTGTCTGGTGAAGTTGGCTGGTCGTTTGAAATTTCGAAAAGGAGAATGGTAGGCTCCCCCTTCGAATCTCAGGGCTCTATGTCTATGTTTACTTTATGTCTCTACTAGCTGGCTTACCCGACTCCGCCCGGCACTGTCAAAACACTGTGATAAAGTTCTCATTCCTATCCCTGTGCATGCAACCTTTCCCTGTGTTCACGTCTACATGCCAATTCACTACCACTGTTTTAGTAATCAGCATGCTCGACTCCCCCCCCCCCCCCTGTGCCAACTCTCAGCCCCGTAGCTCAAACTTTGCAAAAAAATCAATGAAGGCGATCAAAGTAATGGATATCTAAACTAATATTGTATTCGTAATCAGCATGCTCGACCTCCCTGTGCCAACTCTCAGCGCCGTAGCTCAAACTTTGCAAAAAAGTCGATAAAATTGATAAAAGTAATGGATTCTAAAAACTAATATTGTATAAGTAATCAGCATAGTTGTAACGAACAAAAATTTTCGCCGAATGAACGAATATCGAATAATCAATTTTCAAAATTTTTCGAACGAATGAACATCGATTAATTGATTTTCGAAAATTCGGACGAATGAATATCGAATATTTGATTTTCGAAAATTCTTCGAATGAACGAATATTATTCGACTTTCGATTTTCATTTTATTCGAATTTGAATATTCGAATATTGGCACATTCCAAAATGTGGCTGAGCGAATACTTGAATAACCGAACTTGATCGAATATTCAACTAATTTCGAATAAATGTTCGAATATTATTCGAATATTTGAATGCAATATTCGAATATTCGAATATTCAAATAACTATCTTTTAAAACTACTCGAATGAATGAATATTGAATAACCTTTATTCAAAACTCGTCGAATGAACGAATATTCGAGTAAGTCATTTTTCGAAATCGTGGAATGAACGAATTATTCGAATATAGGCCTTTCTCATTTATTCGACTATTCGAATATTCGAATACTTCGAATAAATTATTCGAACGCGAATATTCGGTGCTAACTATAGTAATCAGCATGCTCGATTACTCCCCCATGCCAAATCCCAGCCCTGTATCAAACATGATAATTCTGGAAACTAATATTGTATTCGTAATCAGCATGCTAGATTACCCCCCCCCCCGTGCCAACTCCCAGCCCTGTAGTTCAAACTTTGCAATAAATCGATAAAATCGATAAAAGTAATCGATAATTCTGGAAACTAATATTGTATTCGTAATCAGCATGCTCGATTACTCCCCTCTGCCAAATCCCAGCCCCGTAGGACTCCACAAGAAATCGATTAAAATCGAGGAAATCGAAATCTATGGATAACGAATAGTGGCCTATGACATCTGCCCGGTCCCGAAGTTATGTGTGCAAAGTTTGGTCCGGATCGGTTCCGAAATAAAAATTTTTATTTGGATTCGTACACACAGACATACAAACCTACATACAGACAGACAAACAGACATTCAGCTTTATATATAAGGTCTCCAAATTTCCTTATATATACGAAGATTTTGAGACCTAAGTACATCTTAGAAGGAGTCTAGCCCTTTATGCGTGCGTGAAGAGCATCGCAGAATGCCTGTTTTTGACACTTTCGCGCTTTCCATTATGCATTCTGGGGATTAGCACAAGAAATGCCCAGATAAGCTCAATTTGAGATTGACGATAAGCTGGGACATTGCTTTGAAAACGAAAAAAAATGATGGGACATAAGATTTGAGCGTCTCCATTGGCCTCTTTCCAGTTATGTATCTAACTGTTATTTTTTATGCATCAATTCATCGACGTAAATAAACATAAAAAATAATAGACAGTAATAGCGATAATAATAGTAATAAATAATAGTAATAAATAATAGTAATACAAGAATAGCGGACCCCGTACGGAAGAACACAAAGATAAAAAAAAATTTACCGACGTGATGTACACTGATTACCTAATTCACAAAGGGAGTGGTTGGTCGAAGTGGCGTTTTGAGATGTTTGTTTACCATGTTGTAGGGCATAAACCGTTAATCCCAAATCTGTCTTCATTATCTGCGGCGCTTTTCTGCACGAGAAGTTATGGGCGCTTATTGAAGAAAAAAGTGAATGTGCAAATAATATAAAAACACTAGTAACATTTTTCTGGCGCTTAAATGGATCAGTAGTCTTTCTTGCACTCTTTAAAATAAATACTTTTAGATGAGATATATCTCATCTAAAAGTGCACTCAGGTTGTCTCACTCAGATTGTTTGCTCTTATATACGCTCATAACTCCTCGTCCAGCTACGCTCCGCAGGACAGATTAAAGAAGACAGATTTGGAGTCAGCATTTTACGCCCTCCAACAACATATACAAATTATCGCAAAGGCCCCTTCGACTGAGCATCCTTCCCTTGTCAGGCAGCGCAGGGCCCGGCACGAGTCGGTTTCAAGGGTTTTTGAAAACGAAGTCTCCCCTGACTTTGAAGTTTTACGAAGTCCCCTTTGACCTACCTAATTAGAAGAAGATGAAAACAAGAAACATAGTCTGAAAAAAACGTGAGATAAGACTGAAAATCCAGCTTGGAGCCAAATGCTACGCATGCACAAGAGTTCGGCATCGAAGCGCGTTATTTAACAAAGCGATATATGACAAAATCAAGGCGAAAAACAAAGGAAAGGCAGTGATATGAAAATGTTTTCATGCTTAGGAATAAATTTTTCACTGGGGAATCCGTACATGATAGAAGAATCTAAAACTTATGTGAAGTGACAGAAATATATGCTCCAGACGATCTTAGATTGGTGGCCGTCTGGAGACGATCTAATTTTGGAAAAGGTATTACTTCACATAAGTTTTCAAATCTTTTTGCATAATCCTTTCGCAAATAATTTTCAATACATATAGTTCAATTTTGGTGTCATATTATTCTGTGTACGCTGTAAACAAGCAGTCTATTTATTTTAGCCTTGCTTTCAAATCGGGCCGGCGTTAGAAAGGTCAGGCGTTAAAGGATTTTCTGGCAAGATCTTGATCCAAGGATTTTCCGCTTGCTTGACTTTATCTGCCGCGCAACTTGGGAAGCGCGAAAATGCCTAAAACGAGCTTCTTGAGAAGACCTAGTTTATGAGCCTAGGTCAGGGCGCAAGCAGCATGCAGTGGAAATCGCTAGGTGAACGGACTCCGGAACCTCACTTCCGAAGCGAATCTAACCCCTGTAGCGAGAGTTCTTTTTGCTGCGCACTTCACTGATTGTTTACCCAGGAAGGACGGGGGGGGGGGGGGAGGTGAGGGGAAGGGCGTTGGATGGGGCTTCTGATATCGCAACGCCAAAAATCCCAGCAGCCTCCTATTGCCGGACGCTGCTTTTGCGGAGTAGAGACTATAGCCCAAGGTTCATTTTGAACAAACATACTGCGAAAGCAAATTTAGCACTGATGAAAATCCTGCTGAACCCTAATGTACTTTTTTGGAATTGTTATTTTATTATTCTAGCAAAAACTGAAGTTCTTCTTGACCCTGGTGCTGTAGAAAATGAAGCACCAGGAGTCCACTATGGCGTAATGAGTGTCGCTGCATGATGTAGTACTATCGGCAAGTCATGTCGCTAATAACAGCACCGAAGCGGGAAGCTGATCAACTCAATATCTTTGAAGCTGATAGTACTTGATGCACTACACACTTCGCAGACAGACATTGCAAATAGCGTAGTGACCGCGATACGGTGGATCGCTCATGTATGATCGATGTCTGCCACTAGTTTACATGAGTTTTCAAATTTGTAGTAGAGTTCAGCATTCACCATCCTTTTGCAGATATATATGGAGTAACTATGATAAAAGTGGCTGCGATGGAGAATTGGGGTATGATTCCATTTTATGCACTTATGTTCTCTAATGCATACCGATAGATAGCCTCAAACAATCTAATTTAGGCCTCATCACCGTACGCCAAAAACTCCTGTTAAATAATAGCACCATTTCTACATTGACGGAAGCTCGAGTCACCTCTATTGTGCTTGCGCACGAAATAGCGCATCAGGTGTCTTTGTTGAAAATTTCAATTTTTATATCATGCCTATAGATCAATTTCAGTGGTTTGGGAATTTGGTGACGATGAGGTGGTGGGATGATCTTTGGCTCAATGAAGGATTCGCTTCAATGATTGGTTTGAAGGCGAACGACCTTGTGGATAATATGCCGCTCAGTCAGGCATGTCATGCTCAATACTCGTCAAGATCAAGTGAAGATATCTTTTGCTTGCATGTGAGAAATTCTATGCGAATGTATGATGAACAAAGCCTCTAACTACCGCTTCCAGCAGTGATCGCCTAATAGTAAGACTACCTTGCGCGATCCCGATATCGCGACTTCCATGTCATATCTCGGGTGATTGCGAAAGGTCGCTACCGCTGGCGAATTTTTAGTAACCCAGAGATCTCGAATGCACAGCCGCAGAGTTTATTGGTGCAAACATGTCAAAATTTGCTTGCCTGCAGTGCGCTTACAAAAAATCATGCGCCATCGAATGATGCACATCGGACGACGAGTAATCGCGCCAGCTATGACCGATGCCTTAGACTTTATGCTATGGGGGCCTGCTGGATCGCGAGAGTCGGAAGTGCGTACGGCCATTGCGCCGCGCTTGTCAGATGTGCGTCCAACGACTCAGGTAGGTGCCAGACTTATTCTGTTGAACAGGTTCATTCGGTTCACCGCCTTTGCTGTTGGACAATGCAATGCTGACCTATGAACCCGAACGAAATGGCTGAAGCGGATAAATCTGGCACCGGCCTAGTGACATAGGAAGTGAGCGGCGCAATGGCCGTACGCACTTCCGACTCTCACGATCCTGCAGGCCCCTATATCTTCGTCAGCGTTGCTGGCGCGCTGCTGCCGAACTAGCTTGCAGACTATCTTGGTTTTGGCAATCGAATCATCACTCCGATACCTCCTTTGTTCTTGTCAGAAGCATGCTTAGCGATCAATTAATGAGCACAGTTTTTGATGCTTTCGACTGGTGGTTGAATAGAAGACGTGAAAAAAACCTCAGTCGCTGGAAAACACGGGGTATCACAACAAGTTGTGAACGTTTTTGTTTATACAGCAATACGCTTTTGTTGCTATCTTCAAAAGTTATAAGCGGGACATTTGACGATGGGTACCATTTGATTCAACTGACTTGGCTTCGGGAAGACGGGGCTTCGTGACCTAAAAGGCTAGGTAACAATCAGAGAGCACTTGCGCGAGAGAGACGCAGGTGCGTCGCGGGCGCGAGCGGCCTTAATTAGGTCACAAAGCCCCGCCCTTCCGAAGCCAAACCAGTTGAATCAAAGTAAATGTGGGGTTCAAATCTTCAGAGCACCAATTTTCACACTTTCACAGTTTTCTGTTAGACTGCGCTCCACTACCCGGAGGGGATGTTTGTTACATGCGGCCCTTAACTCATTGACGACGATGTGGACCACCGGTGGCCTACGCGCTTTTTGCTGCCAGGGACGATGTGGACCCCCGGTGGCTCACACCTCTCGCAAAGTCGTATTATTTGCAGGTCTAGTATTTTTTCCACATATGAATATTTTTTCCAATTTTTTGTATTCTTAGGAGCTATAGGCTCTGTCGTTCAAGAAAATGTTAATAGTTGTTCACATAACAATGTTGCATTTCGTAAATAAGCACGAAACCTTCCCACACTGAAAGTGTTGTGCAAAATCGCGTCGTCCCACAGCGCCGCCGCGCAAAATTAGGCGTCGTCAATGGGTTAAAGGCAGCGTACACCCAAAATTTGAGTTACCGAATTTCCTAGATCTTTCTACACCGTGTATATACTGGGCCCAGAAGAAGACCAACTGCGTTGGTCCCGTCTCCCAATGTTGCTTCTGAGCGGAGAAAATCCCCCTCAATTTTCTTTCACGCGGCCCCTTTTCTTTCGCTCCGCCTCCTCCGGACGAATCCATAACAGCGTAAGCTGCAATTGCAGTTGCAGTTGCTGTTGCAACATCTGTTGCATTTTTTTGGGTGTACGCTGCCTTTAAAGGCAGCGTCCAGGCAGATCCGAGCTCGACGACCACGCCCACTTCCCTCGGACGGCCAACCCTTTATGATCGAAATCTCCTCAGCCTTGACGTGTTTTCACATGACCAACACAGTCGAACTTACAGCGTTTACCTGTTAATACTTGCTTTTGACAAGGATAACATCAGAAGCACTTGTCCGATTTTCCCAAATAGCCCCAAAAGGTGGTTTTCTGAGAAATTCACGCTTTTTGAGTTTCATATTTGGAATCAGCGCCATGGAAAGGCCTAGATAACACAAAAATATAGAAGTCGAGAATCTGCCTGGACGCTGCCTTTAAAGGCAGTGTCCCGGCAAATTTGAGTTGTAAATATGGCCATAATGCAGTAATAGTTTTACCTGTTGGGCCCTTAGCCACTTGCACAGGCTTCATCTGGGAAAACTCCTTCCTTATTGGCACCGAACTTCATTTTGGCACGCGCCGTACAAGTTCATCTAGTCTGTACATCACCGTGGCAGTTCACGTAAGCTTTGTGCTGTTCAGTCCAAGTTACAGGCCTTAGAATTTTCGTACCAAGACCCTTCTATTAGGTTGTCCCAAAAGTAAACTCCTTTTCTGAATAACTCAAGCTGTTTTTGTTTTCTTAGTACATTTAGTGTATCATTCGATAGAGCAGATCAAGCTCTACAAAATGACCTCCAAGGGTCCGCCTAAGTCGCCTTCCATGTAAAGTATGAAGCCAAAATCGAAAAAAATTTTGTCACCTGAAATTGGATTTCTGCGACAAACAATCCTACAGACCTCCAACTTGGTCATTATACATAAGGCATATAGTCGTACACAAATATATCTTTGCCGAATCTTTTCCGAGCATAGAAAGCGAGAAACAAAAATTGTCCAAAAATGGCAAACTCCGCCCCCAGCCCCTCCTACATATGTCATTGTATACTACAAGCCTTACTAAGTATAATTTCAAAACCTTACCTCTGTATGTGCTCTTATAACCGAGAAATACCAAGTTTTACATTAAAAAACCGAAAAAAGTGGCATTTTGGCCTTTTGGAACCCTATTTATTTGTCAATTTTGAGCTTCGGAAAAAATGCACCAAATACATTTTTGGGTACTACTATGTGTCTACTATATAGAGACCAAGTTGGAAGTCCGTAGGAATTCTCTAGAAGGAGATCCGATTTTTAGGATAGCTGAAACATTTTGATTTTTGGCTTCAAAATTTACCTAGGTTACGAATTAGATGGAACTTTGGTAGTTTTTTTTTGTAGTGCTTGCTACGCTCTGTTGAACGGTATCCTAAATCTGTCAAAAAAAAAACAAAAACAGCTCAAGTTATTTGAAAATGGAGTTTACTTTTGGGACAAGCTAATACTTTCCAACTAAACTCTCCTCCGAGCTCTTTTCCATAAAATGAGAAAACGCTCTGAATTTTGGTCCTTTTAAGCGGTACGTACTCTACGCCTCTTTCGCGAACTTGCTCTGTGATCACTTTCCCACGCGTGCGTGGGAAAGGCGGAGCCGCAATCGATTGCGAATGACTAGAGAGCCTGTTCGCGGAAGAGGTGCAGAGTCCCGTGCGGGCGGAGATGCTGGTGCACTCGACACTGCAATTGATAAGCTGTGTAGCTTCATGCCGTCCAAAGCAAAATCCGACTGAATCGGGGGTGTAGTACAGACAAGTGTTATGTACAATGTCGCCATCCCCTCCTTCCCAATTGAAGCATTACTCAAGTTTGAAACTGTGATAAAAGCTATAACGGAAAACGTCTAAAGAGCTTCTCTATCCCCCTCACCATAACAAGATTCGAAACAGAAATAATCAGATTGGTGGGGTAAACAAGCATATTGCTTACAGTAGGGTCAAGCGTGTTGATGCGATCCGGTTTCTCTATTGCGACACCTTCTTCTTGAATATACCCATTCGTATGTCCCCCACCCCCACTTCGTCCCTCCTCCCCTCCCTTCCCCCCATTTCCACGCTTTTGCGGTGGCCTACACCCCATTTCCACGCTTTTGCTGTGGCCTGCATCAACGAAATTCAGATCACTTCAAAGGCATTGTCCAGGCAAATCTGGACCTATGGAGCTCTTACGTGGAAAGTAATCTTGACGCCCTATATAAGACTCTGCCCAAGTGGCAGTTCAGATAGTGCACTCACGGCCAAGATATTGGGCTCCAAACTATGCCCCGTGACCGTAGTGGCACGGATTCATGGCTCGGCACCTCAGTTTCGCGTGGATCCTCGCGCGAAAGCGCCACGAATCCATGCGAGTACAGTCACGGGGCATAGTTTGGAGCCCAATATCTTAGGCGTGAGTGCACTATCTGAGCTGCCGCAGAGTCTTATTTAGGGCCTCAAGATTACTTTCCATATGAGAGCCCCATAGGTCCAGATTTGCCTGGACGCTGCCTTTAAAGGATGGCAGTAAACCGTAAAGGGAGTGGCTCGGGATTTGTGACTGCGAGCTTTCCACACTTACATGGCCTTCTAACAATAAGACCGTATTCATCAACGACCCAGTGGGTAAGTGATGTACTGTGGACCGAATCGAATGACTATTCGATTATTCGAATTAACCAGTGCGTCACCTCTGCTTCGCAGAGACTCGCACTGGCCCTACTTTCTGTGTGCCTTACTCATTCCCGCATAATGTCATTGAATCACCGCGCTATGCAGGCTATCGCAAATGATTCGTAAACAACTAGTCATTCCTAGAGGCTTTTCGTGTAAGATCGGTATTTTCACGTGGATGAAACCTCTCACAGAGGAATGATTGCAAATTTGAATCAGTTTTTGGACTTTTTATGGCTTGGTAGCTGCCGTAAGGACAATGAACATCGTGGGCTACATCTCTGTGCAAAGGTCTTCTCTAATGAATAGGTAAATTCTTGGCGAATTGAACATTTACGCAACTAATTCTTTTTGGCGCCATTTTCGTAAAGTAGCCAACTTTAGTTCAGTTTTTTGGGCTAAAGTCCATGCCTTCCACATTAGCTTGTCAAACATATCCATAACTTTGCAAAAGATTTCAAACGGAATCAATCATGCTGGCGAGAAGAAGTTTAGATCCGCTTGATGCGCATGTTTTAAAGGATCCGCTCAACGGAATCGCCTATGCTTTTGCACAATGGACCTGCATGTTGCTACATATGCTGTGCCAAATTTGGGCTCAAGAAATTGGC